CGACGGAAAATAAAAGTATTGTAAGTTATTGAGATTTTTCTTGCATTCTTTTGAAATTCATGAACACACACTCAAGTTTTGTATTTACGTCTGTACCCTGCTCCTTATAGACTCTAGCATAGTTTATGTGTTGCATCCCCCCCCCCAGTAAATACGTACATTTCAGCTTATTCCAGAAACAGTGTACCCCCATTCATCACAATAACTTACCAGGTTGAAACCAGGAGAGCATTGCTCTAGCAGAATCATCCACTTGGTTCCCGAATTCACTCAAATTTACTGACACATCGTAACTTCTTAATTGCTTCAGAACAATTTCCTGGAATACACTGATATTCTCTTCAGTGTTTTTAAAGACTTCGTCATGTTCTGTTTCGTTGTTTACGACACTGCGAGAAATCCAGTAAGAATTTTCTGAGTACAAACCACTACTCATAAACCGTATCACTGTGTCCCGAACACATTTCGCCACATCACTTTCGTTCCAACAGTTTTGAGATATCGAAGAAATAATTTTTAAAAGTGTAAAACCAATTGATAAACTCGAATTAAAATCTGAATTTGTTTTAAAAGTTAGGCTGTTTATAGTGGGTAAATGTCCTATACTTTGAATCGACTTTGTCGATATGTCAACAGAATAATCAGTGACATTTCTGGACATAGAAGTGTCTTTGGCCTCAAACTCGTAATTCGTAACAGCAGCCTCCTGGCTGTTGTTAGCAGTACGGTCAGTCCTGTGTTTGTTGTGTGAAACGTCTTGTGTCGTATATTCTAAAGTGCATGTCGTCAGTGTTGAAACCGACAGCAGTGTCAATGTTGTGATTATAAGACAACTCGGTTGCTGTCGACGTCGAATCAGTAATGCCAGACCCATTCTCCTTGAAGACTCGTAGAAAAATTGTCGTAGTGACGAGGTGTGTCACAGGAAGTTTTCCCTCATTTACATTCTTGTTGGCCACCTAGAATCAAAGCATATTATGTTTTATTGCTCAAAGCTAAAGCATTTGTAATTTTACAAAAAAAAAATAAAAAGTTTCTTATTTCGAGGTCATTTATTTTTCTTATTATTTTTCGCAAAGTTTGATGGTATCTAAAAGTTTATTTTTCTGTAATATTAACTGAAAACTATTCTTCCCACTTTGAAATTCACGTATAATATACGTATGTAAAATATAATCTACTTTATGCCAAGCTGCAGATCACGTGAGACAAAAAACAATTTGAATTCTGAATGGTTAAGTTGACATCCCGGTAGAAGATAGAAATATTTTTTAAAACAAGTAATCTACACCTTAATGTATCCAACATTTAGTGGGTTTTTTTATTCCAACTGACGTATTTCTAATTGAGATTTATTTGAAGTAAGAATTTCAGAGAACCTAACTGAACTGAACTAAAACAAAATTAGTTTCATAAATTTTGCCACAGACACTCCACATCAAATACAATTACATTCCTTAAGTGATTTTATAGATGGAACATACGAACGGATAGTTTGATATTCCCCATTATCATGAGTACATCTTAGTCTTTAAAGTGCCTGAATGTCCCCTGATGATGGAGGCAGCATTGTCTCTTAAACGTTGGTGTACATCTACCAGATTACACGGCGCAACAAACCAGAAGGCAGAAATCTTCAGAATCTTAGCCGTGAAACTTCAAATCCTATACAGACATGATTGTTTCAATTTGACATAGCAATATTCTGAAGGAAGGAATTTTAAAGAAATCATAACACATGTAATCTAGACCACCTTTGTATTCATGCAGAGGGAAACAAAATATATTCAAATGTTTCCTTGCTTTGTGGAGTAGCACCACAGTTGCTCCCAGGTCTTTAATTAATCTACTACGAGATTCCTAATAACACAAATACGTATTAGGTATTCGTATGTACCAACCAACATTAGATTTGTCTCATACATTCTATTAGTTACCCAATATCAAATTTTATCTGGATCCATCAAGTAGTTTTTGATATGAAACACAGGGAAGGGTAGGAAAGACTACACTCATGTTACTGACTTCGCATAAATAAACCAACTGAGGTCACTACACTGTCCTGTAAAACAAATACCTGTGCTGCTTTTTAGTGTTTAGTAGGCCTGCACCTGTGACAGTGTTTGGTACTATCTGTGGTGACACCCATCCCAGTCCTATTACATACTCTAGCCAGTTCTAACGGAACCACACAAGTAAATACGGTAAGAGTGACGTATGTCCGCGATTCCTCTACACATGTATTGCCCGACTAAATTAAGTGGTCAGATTTTCAAAATTCATACTTTCAATGAGATCTCAGTAACGATACAATTGTTAACAAGCAGTGGAATTCGAAAATTCATTTTCATCTTAGCTCATCTTCTGAACATGCAATGTAAAGTTGACCTATTTTAGATTTCTTTAAAGTGGCCGTTTGTAAATATATTTCTAACTAAAATTCTGATATATCCACTGTCCGAAATACATGTCCAGCCCCTAGTTACATTCAGTATTTATGTTATATTCCTTAAAAATAATAATAACAATATTAAGTGACGTGAAGAAATGAAGTTATAGCCGAAATCGTTCAATTTACAGATTTTATATTGCCATGTCATAGTTAGAGAAACGTTGTATCTTATCTTTCGTAATTATAAATCGTACACAGGTTCATTATCAACAGTTTTATTCAAAACGTTTTATTTATTTTTTTCCATTTTCATATATTTTCATAGGACAATGATTAAAATGCAAATAAATAATTACGGCCATGTAACGTTTATCATCTCCTTTTCGTAAGGCGAAATTTTGAGGTGTGCCGTCAGGATTTTTGGCAAATTATAGTGTGCCGCGGGAAAATAATTTTGCGGAACACTGGCAAAAAACAAAGATGGAACATACATATATTCAAAATCCGTTCTTTGTAATGTACTATCCCTGTTCGGACTTCATTTGCCTCAGGTGCTGAATTATTGCTACATATCTCGCGTATCTCATTATAAATGTTTATCGAAGACGTGTTTTCTACCGAAAGGGTTGTGACTATGAAAGATTTAATAAAAAATAAGATCGAAGCTGTCATAGTATATTTTAAGGAATTGTAGTGGTCCGGTCATTTATTGTTTGAACTAAAAATTATCATAAAAAAATCTAAATGTGAAAATCGTGCTCAGGGCATAGATTTGACTCTGGTACCTCACGAATAATAATTAATGCCAACTTTAAACGCTATATATATATATATTAACACATACACTCGTGCAAACGGACTTAGATTCATGCATACAAATTAACATACATACGCTCTTTTATTTGAAGACTTCATGTTGCGTCGAATGAAATGTAAAAATTATTATTAAAACTAAGCAGGCAAGGTTTTAGAATATGGCGATCGCGGTATGATTTAAGATAGTTCCTAATTTCCAGGTACGTATTTGCTTGATAAACTTAAAACACCTGCCAGAACAGGTTTCAACACATTCGAGTTTGAGAATTAGTTACTCAAGAATATGAATACAGACTCTAGATTATTAGAGTCTAGAGCGAATTCCAGTATTTAATTCCCTATATGAACTAACAAATATAACAAAAATTTTAACCAAACTAAGAATTGATATAACGATGTTGTTCTTCTGGGTTGTGACGCCGTGTAGACACGCAGGTAATACCAACGTTTCTAACAAACATAATGTTTCCATCTTCACGGCTACCCTGAAGATGATGACAATTTTTTAAAAAGTTTTCTTATCTATGCGACGTCATACACCACAAGAACTTCATCGTCACGTTCACTGACATGAAAACGTGAAATGTAACAAACCCGGGATATCAAGATAAAAAACACCGTTGTTAATCGCTCAACCAAGAATTACGAAACATTTCTCTTCGTGTTTTTTTCCCCGTATGCTGTACACTTGTACATCCTCCACCATCCTCATACTCCTTTGATCACTTTCGTATTAATTAGATTACATGGAATTTCGAAGCTCCCCCTTACGCTAATCTCTCTCTC